TGATGAGTCTCTGTTTTTGGGAAGATTTCCCTGTGACAATACCAATAGGGTTGGTGCGCCATTCTGTGAATGGGGGAGTTCTAAAAGGCCCCAATACAAAGCCCTCCTCCACTTCTTGGTTTATGAGGGTGTCAACCACTGTGGGGTTGTGTTGGGCGGATTGTAGGTTTGGGCATTCCAGAGTGCCAGCTGGTATGTGTAGGATACCTGTGTGGAAGCCTTCTGTTAAACCAGAAATAAGAAAATCTACCAGGTGTCTAGATGGGTGCTGAGACATCAATGCTGTGAATACTGGCATATTAATGGACGTAAGGTAAGGCTTAGAATACATTTTATTTGGACACATGGTCTTAGCATGTGCCCTAAAACATTTTGAACAGACATGCAATAGTCTACATCCACTGTAATTACAAGACCCAACATTGAAATTATTACATATCTGGGACTTGCCCAGAAACTTGATTGGGCGTCCCAATTTGTCTTTGGATAGTTTCCCTGGATCCCCAGAGGAACTAGTTCCTTGTGTGGAGGCATGTCCGTCTGCCGTGTTGGGACAAAAATTAGTAGTATGGGCTGTGGAGGAGCAGTATGCACAAGCTGGTGTTCTTAGACCTGCAAAGTGTCTGCAGAATAAGACGGTATCAATCCTTCCCCAGTTGGATCGTGTACCGTACTGGGAGAAGGCTCCAGCCACTTTTGCAGAAAAAGACCTATGGTAGTCATAGAATGCTGAACCACCATATTTGTTGCCCAGGTCTACCAGCTTGTGCATATAGAGATCAAACTCCTCTCTTCTGTTGGGATAAACCGCACAGACGACATCCCTGTAAATACCAAACGCTAGTACAAATTCAGGGATAGTCAGTTTCCTGTTCAGGCGGGCATCCCTAGATCTGACAATAACAGAAACATCATCATAAGCATACGTCTTATGTTCCACAATGTCCTGGGAGGCAATCAACAGGGAAGCCAGGTTGACGTCTTTACCTTCCAGGATATCCCTTTTGATATGCTCAGGTATCATGTGGGCCGGGCTAACTTCCTGGTCATCCAGGGGGCTGGCTGGAGCGACTAATGGCAAGGCTGGTGTTTGTACCGCAGCCGCGGGTGGCCCTGCTAGAGTGAGGGCCGTGGTGACCGACTCAAGTTTCTCCAGCCTGGAGTTGACCTTGCCCATGGATGCCATGAGTGAGGATAACATGGCATGTATGTCCCCTGGGTTGGACTGGCTAGATCCTTCCCCGGCTTCCATGTTATTGGTTGATGTGCGTAGCAGTTTGAAAAGTTCTGCCTTCCTTGCTGTAGCGGGGTAGGGGATTTGTCGTCTCCTTAATTCCGTGGTTATGCGCGGGATTGTCCAGGATCTAATTGATGCTGGACTAGCTAGCTCTCCTCCTTGTGTGGGAGTGACAGCTCTAGCCGGGGTGCTAGGCAGGGAGAAATCCTCTACCCCTTCCTGAGACATACTATAAATAAAACAATAATTAGTATATAGAACCACCAAATTGTACTGGCAGGCTAGCTAGGCCGGATGGCGAAAGTATTATGCTTGTTTGGTGACAGGTGAGGCCCTACTAATTGCCAAGCGGCTTGAGAGGCTCTATCTATGCGTTGGCGCGAGGGGTTATTGAGGCCACTTGATGTAGTGGCAGGAGTTTTAGGCCTCTCGGTGACTGTACGACAGAAAACAGGGGAAGGGAGTGACAGGTGAGGCCCTCTCTTTGCAACATGCGAGGCGGCTAGCTAACGTGTGGCCCGATGGGTGTTTGCCTCCGAAACGTTTGAGGCGGGGTGTTGGCCTCGCGGGACCACTAACTAATGGCGACAGCCAAGATGGGGTAAATACCTATTGGGAATCCTGTGACCCTATTGCCAGTACTCTAAACTAGGGGGATGAAATGAAATGTATGGTAGAATACCATATGAGCAGGTGTACGTACCTGGTAGTATGATAAATCACAGGAATAAACCGTGTGGAGCAATTATATAAGCTCGACAGCCTAAAAATGGGTAAAAGAGAGTAGTACGATGAGTGTGGGGTGTAAAAAGAACCAGACTTATAGTCTGTAGCAGCAATGTATAAAATTATGTTGATACCATGGGAATAGCTATGAGTGGCTCAGAAATGTTTGCATGCTTGAATAAGACATCTGAGGGAGGCCGTGGCCTATGTACAAACAATCTATGTGTTACGTGATAATGGTGTGTAAAGGAAAACATGAAACGTAGGTTATATACATATGTATATGACTGTGTAGGGGACGTATGATTGGTTGGATCAGTACGTGTGATTCAACCCGAGTATGCATGCAAAAGGATTTAAGCCTTATGTGTCATCGCCATGACAGAGAAATGAGGCCTGTAATGTAGGCTGAGTAAATTGAAATGAAATGGATAGTTATAAAACTCCTGGCGTGGGAGTTCAATGATCTGTACCGAAATGTAACTGGTTTTATAGAAAGGGACATGGATGAGGTCATGGCCTAATTAACACAGCGTTATGTATGATATGTAGCAGAAAGACCAAAGGCAGGGATACCCCAAAATGATTTAACATGATGTAAAGTGATGTATATCTATATGATATGTATGTATAGCAAAGACGTATCAACCCGAGAATTATTGCTTAAATGAACCTATCCTTGTATATGTTGTATTAATAACCCAGAAATGAGGCTTGTAACATAGGCTGAGTCCATTCGTATAAATGGATAAGTAATGCAGACCCCTGAAAGCGTGGGAGTCAAATGGTATACACAGAGAAGTGGACTTGATTTGTGGACGTAATACAATACTGACAATTTGTTAAAAGTAATCAACAATAATCTATTTAAGCAAGCAATACTTTAACCGAATGTTATATACACATGAAATGGTGAATATAATTCATGAAAGGATTATACGTGAACACACAGAACAGCCGAAAGCAAATGTGAGGGGAACACAGAAGTTAGAATAGTTTAATCGTATGATTTATGCGAACCAAAGCGTGTATGAGCGTATGTAAAATTTGCAGAACGGCAAAACAACCGAATGAACATTCGTTTAAATAACATGAATAGGATATGTGAAATGATTATTGAACGATTTAAAACATGTTCAACCGAATGACCGTACGAATGAAAAGCCCGCGAATGGCTTGAAACATTCGTGTCATAACCAGGGAAAAGCCGTAAAGCGAGGACCCGTGCTGTACCGTACGCCGTGGGAACCAGTCCTGGCGTGACAGGAAGGTCTGACTTACGGTTTAGGAGTCCCTGGGACGCGATCTACAACGGAGAACGGAGTCAGAAGAAGCTGGACGGGCGGAAAGGCCTGAACAGGATTCCTGGACACAGCTTAACGTCGTGAAACCTCCTTGATACTGAAACCAAGATGGCGTCTGAGAGAACCCGGAAGTGGATCCTCATTCAACGCTGACCTCGAACGGTAAGGAGCCAGGCAAGGGGAGTGCCTTAAGTAGGCTAGGGGTAGAAAACCAGCACCTCCCACAAATGCATGCAAATTGCCTTAATACATATAAAAATTCTGTGTGTATATTTAAGTAATCTTTTAACATAATTATATGATTTTATCAATTAAAATTTGATTGATGTGCCTGCCAACCAGGGCAGAAAGTGCAGAGAATTTAATTCACAAGCACTATATTTAACCCTGTAACGTTCCAAGACACCATAAAACCTGTACATGGGGCATACTGTTTTACTCAGGAGACTTTGCTGAACACAAATATTAGTGTTTCAAAATGGTAAATAGTATTACAACGATGATATTTTCAGTAAAAGTTTTTTTGCATTTTTCACACACGAACAACACTTTTACTGAAGATATTATTGTTGTAATAACACTAATGTTTGAGTTCAGTGAAGTTAGCCAAGTATAACAGTACCCCCCATGTACAGATTTTATGGTGTTTTGGAATGTTAGAGAGTTATATATATATTTAAGGCTTGCATTTCTTTTGTTTTCACATTAAAATTTGCCAGTTTGGTAATGTTGTCTTTGAGACCATATGGTAGCCCAGGAATGAGAATTACCCCCATGATGGCATACCATTTGCAAAAGTATTGCAAGTGGGGTATGTCCTGGCCAAAGTTAGCGTTCATAGCATTTAGATCCCCATAAGCGGCGGGTGGGAGGCCTAAATTATAATAAGGGTGGACCTATTATCATTTCCCCCGGCCCCCACCCATGAGCGGCGGATGGGGTCCCTAAATTACAATAAATGGGGGGACCTATTGCCCTACCCTGACCCCCAACCCTGAGCAGAGGGTGGGGACCCAAAATTAAAATGGGGGGACCTATTGTCCTCCTCCTGGCCCCCACCCATAAGCGGCGGGTGGGGGCCCTAAATGAAAATGAGTGGAGACCTAGTGTCCTCCCCCTGGCCCCTACCCCTGAGCGGCGGGTGGGGGCTTAGGGGTATTTGGGTGTGACTAGGGGATTAGGGGATTAGGGGATTAGATGTAGTAGAGTCGGGAGGGTGTTTTAAAAAAAAAAAAAAAAAAAATGGATTTGGCCATGACAGTGCCGCTTTAGATATCAAGTCTCAATATATTTTAATTTATAGTGACATTTTATTTTAGCGCAATGAACATTTTCAATAGAAGATGGAATTTTTTTGCCACTTGACTTGGCAGCAACATTTCCATTTATTGAACAAAATCATACATCTGTTCCAAGCACCTTTAAACATTTTTTGTTAGAAGTGCTTTGAAAGGTATTCTGTTCTGTGTCCATTTTTTAAATTTTTTATTAAAGAGCCCTCTCCTCCATTGTAGCTGGTATCCACCTTCTTTTCAACACACATCATTACTCCTGGTGCTGTCAACTGACAAATTACAGTGATTCTGCCATATCTTTAATTGAACCATGATGACTTAACTCAATGCACCCTTCCTTTAGCACATACCACCAGATGTCATTACAGTATACGTAGCTCCATGGCTCTATTGATTGGTATCACCAAACTCTGATACAACTCATTCAGTTTAATTTAAAACACATAGAGTTGGGAAGGGCTTCTCTGCCCTATCTAGAATTCTGGATTCTTCATATCAGCAAAGATAATGTTTGAGAAGTAATTCCAATGGAACTTAGCAAACATATTTTTTTTTTTGCACTGTTCCTTGAACAAACACTGATCATGTATAAAAATATATAAAGTGCATTTGCACCTTACTCTTTCAATCTCCTTGACATAGACAAGGCTTCACCATGAAAAGCCTGGTGAGTATAACGTGACATGTTCAAGAAAATTAAGAAGAATCTATAATATTACCCAGATTGTATTTTGAAAGGCTTTGTCATTGTTCTCTGTTCTAGATTGTGATTGCTGCCCTCTTGGGAGTCTTCCTAACTCAAACTCTAGCAAACGACGTAAGTAAATAAATGCAGATTGTTTGAATCGATTCCATACTAATTATATTTGCCATACACAAACTTTGGTTAAGTGGGCGTGGCTTTGAGTCTTGAGCAAAAAGGTCACTTATTGTCTCTTATCGACATATATTTTAATAGATTTTAGCCAATAGAGCATATTTACTCATTGTATGACCATATAGCCCCAACAATGCAGACTATAAAAATACTATTCAGGAGTCCACCCTTCAATCTGAGTGCTGGTTCTTCTGAATCTTCTATAATTCATACCTTTACATCTGCTCTTTATTTATTGGTCTAAAAATCTATTTGTAATTAAACTCTTAAAATAAATATCCAACACTTGTACACGCGTGTTGCTTGCTTATGTGTGTTGGTATTTCTTAAGTTCAGGTTCTTTATTGCATATTTACATTGATTTATATTTAGTTTTTTATAGTGCATTTTTTGTTTGTTTTTTATATTGCATATTTAAAAAATTAGTTTTTTTATATGGCATATTAAAAAATACAAAATGGAAACTAATTGAATTTAGGAAAAGTAGGTTTAATAGAAATCACACAGACTTAGAAAACAAGGTAAACTGAAAACCTTCTATAAGTCAGGTATTTTGTCAAAAATAATGCTTAAATAATTTTAATATATATAGTATTAAATAATAAAATGATCAAAAATAAGAGCACATTATTAAACACGTGATCTCTGCATTAAACTAGCTCACACTATCTCTGCCCATATAGGAGAATATTGGTAGCACTCTATGCAAGGTTGCAATTTAGTCCAGTACATGTTCTTTAGGGATCATGTGTATCAACAACACAAAACCAATTATCTATCATCTCTATGGCAGTTATGCTATTCAAGTAATAAATGAAAAAAAAGTTTATAATTTGGAACTTAAACAATTGATACATTTTTTTTTTTAAATAAAATAAAATAAAACCATATACTTTTGCAGCATCAATTAAGTGTACAATGCTAAATATACACACACACACACACACACAAAACCCACAATGCAACTGTTGTACAATAGTTAAACCCATACAGATGTGAAATACTTCTTTGTGCATGAAGTTAGTTTTCCAGTATCAGTCAGCATGTTGACAGACAAAAATCTTGTAATATGTACAGTATACGCATGAATACAAATAGACCAAAGATCAAATATCACTCACAAAAAATGGGTAGATTTGCTGCTCTCATTTTGATGGTTATATTGAAGCTCAGGTAATGATAAAAAATATTCACTCTATATAAACTCAGGTTATAACTGAAAATAATACATGTGTAGAGAGTAACATTTATTAAAACACACACAAAAATTTGTTTTAATAAATGTTATTTTTATATGCATATATTTTTCCTCCATTTTTCATTCCGTAACCTCAACCTATGTTCCTAAGAGTGTAATCTGACTTTTCATCATTAGCAGAGTTGCAAAGGAACCCTTAAAGTGAAAGTAACAGTAATCATGTTCCTTTTTTGTGAATGCTACTTCATATTTAAACTAACACCCTTTATTAGTGTTTATACATACTGCACAATCATTGTGCCCTCTTTTTGTCTCTTGATATACTGATCAATATCAGACATCCTTCATGCTGATATAAGTATTTTTTACATGTATCTATGTATGTGTGTTACACATAGTACACCAAATGCTACCTAGCCAACAATGCATCCTGTACTATACTGACCAAAAAAAACCAAACAGGTCTTACCTAGCAAAAAGTGTGACAAATGAATACAAGCCACTTAATATAGACTTGATATTTAAGTAAATGCATTGATATTGGTGTGAGATTGCATAAATCTTGAGAAAATTAGATTTGACAATTTTTCTTTAAATATTTTAATATCCCTGTTCCAGAATATCAAAATCAACAATGAAGGAAATGATGGAGGCAATGTTTACCAGAACGTCAACATTAACAACCAGGACAATATTGCCAGTGTCAACAGCCTAAATGGCTGGAACTCCTGGGATTCCGTCTGTGACTTTGGCAGAGTAAGTAATGTACAGAGTCATGGTATAAAATAGGAGGATAACATGGGAATCTGTAGGTCCTACAAAGAGTTTGGGTTACAGTAAGCCTTTTAAAATGCAGCCAACGAGTGTTTATTAACCAAATAAATATAGTAACATTGATAATATTAAAAATAATGTTCATACCTTTAAAACATGCAAGGGGTAAAGATAGTATACTGTTGTTTTCTGTACATGTTGATGTGCAGTTATTTATAAATTGCATGTAGCAATCTGGTTATTTTTTTCAATTAGTAAGTTTCTCAGTTGTAAAATATATTCGTATAACAAATATTCATACCTTGTACGTATCCCTATTTAGGAGGGACAGTCCCTATTTGTGGCCCAAAGCCATCAGAAACTCTTTTCTGTTCTAATGTTTCTCTTTTCTGGGAGCTAAGAAGAGGCATAACTAGAAACCACCAGGCCATGGTGCAACAATTGCCCCGGGCCCACCCATGTTTCATTCCCTCCCCCCAGCTCCTCCATTTGTCTCATTCCCTCTCTCCCTCCAGACCCTCTCTCCCACTAGCCCCTCCATTTGTCTCATTCCCTTTCCCCTCCATTTTCCCCCAGCCCCTCTATCATTGTGCTCTCTTTTTGTCTCTTGATATGCTGATTGATTTCAGGAGACATCCTTAATGCTAATAAGTATTTTTTACATGTATGCATGCGTGTTGCACATAATACACCAAAAGCATTGTAGGGTATGCTACCTAGCTAACAATGCATCCTGTACAATACTGACCAAAAAAAACATCTTACCTAGCAAAGAGTGTCACAAATTAATTCAAGCCTTATTCCCTCTCTAACAGCCCCTCCATTTATGTCATTCCCCCCCTCACCTTCTCTCAGGCCCTCCATTTGTGTCATTCCCCCCTCACCTTCTCTCAGCCCATCCAATTGTGTCATTCCCTCTCTCAGCCCATCCATTTGTCTCATTATCTCTCTCTCCCCCCTTCCCTCCTGTACCTCCTGTCTCTGTGTGGTGTGGCCAAGTGATACACAGTCTGAAAGCAAGTGCTCTCTCACTGAGCTCTTCCTGTCAGACCATAGTGCTAGGCCAGGCTACACACAGAGTGGCAGTAAGGAAGTAGCACAGCACAGTGCTTCTAACCTGACGGTCACTCTGCAACCGAGGGCCCCGGGCCAGTGCAGCCATGCACTGGCCTTGAAATTGTGGCGGCCCATGGTCTCAGGGGTTGCAGCTGTGGCCAGACCCCATGGAGTGACAGGCCCAGTCGCCACTGCAACCTCTGCGACCATGGTAGGTACGCCACTGGAGCTCAGTAATATTGATGTGCATACATTTATACAAGAGCTTCAAAGCTGTAATACTCACAGTAATTAGTCTTTAAACTACAATAAATGTGTTTAGAAAGTCCTTTCTGACCTTCCTGACTCCCTTTCCTTTCCTAATGGTACCAATAACTATCTGGATATTGGCACTACAAAGTTTTAGCCTTACTCCCTTGAACAGTTTTTTTTGGTATCAGAGTGGTTAACTCCTTTTTACTCAGGCTGCAATGGCCTTGTGATACCTCCCTTCCTTCTCTCTCTGTTCTGATCCATTACCACTTTTACACCCCTCACATTCCTGGTATTCCATTTGGGCTTAGTCGATGCTTCCTTGACATGGTATTTTGAATGGATCCTGCGTGATCCCTTCTAGTGACACAAGTTGCATATTTTCCTGTTTGCATTGTTCCTTTCTGGGAGTTATCCCCTCTCCCTTTTCTTCTTGCCATGTTTCTTTTTTATTTATATATTTATTGATGAAAATTCAATAGAAATAATAACAATTTAAAAAAAAAAAATCTGTGTCAATAAAACACATTGTTCTTGTTCTAAATTAAATTTTTTAGTAATATTAGTAAGTTGCCAAAAAAAAAAATCACAAAACAGCCCTGCCCCTGGACACACACTAAATATTACATAATCTGCCAACTATTTCAATAGTTATTTTTTTTTCAATCCTGTACTGCATGGATAGTAACGTAATCTGTGCAATTATTCCTCATAGGAATTCGGGAATTATGTACATGTCATACCAATGCAGCTCTGTTAACCAAATCAGAACCAAGACATACAGTATTTGGCGAGGACTGCCTGGGTTAATGGCAGATACATATCTGACTAGCGACATTTTAATAACAGCAGTCAAGATAGCTGCCTCCAAGGACTGTAACTCTGACTTATCTCAAGCTGCACTGAGACATGTATGTCCCAGTGTTACCCTTATAGTAAAGACTTCTTCTTAACCATTACATTAAGCTAACACAATCTGGGCTGATGGAAGGATTTTTGTCTCTGTTAAAGCAATGAGATATTCCATACTCTGGCAATCGACTCATTAACAGTGTCTGCTGATTTTCTAGATCAGAGCTGCCCAACAGGTAGATCCCCAGATGTTGTAGAACTACAACTCCCATGATGATTTGCATGCCTCTAGAATGCTTTTAGAATGACAAAGCATCATGGAGTTGCAGTTCTACATCATCTGGGGATCTACCTGTTGGGCAGCCCTGATTTAGATTATCCAGCAACACTAGGTGAGAAATGAAATAATTGTCCATTGTCCTTGTACTCATTCTATTTGCAACTGTGTTCGTTTTGTAGGGATTTGCTGCTACCAGACTCTTTAACAAGAAGATATGCATTATCAACAAGATGAACAAGTCCTTCCCTACATTGGCCCAATTGAGTGCTATCGCCAATGACAAGCAGAAGGTCAGACATGCTTTCACTGCTGCTTTTATATATGACAGGTGTTTAAAGAAAATGTGTAGTATGTATGTATATGTAGCTATGTCATGTCCCAGTCAACGCAGCAGAAAAGGATGAACGCAAGTCAGATCTTTTTAAAAAAACAAAAACAAATCTTTAGTGCATAGGTCCACTGTTAGCTCAGGAGAGATGTTAGTAAGTAATGGGAGGTCCAGCATAATAAGAATTAGATGAATAATAGAGTGTGAGATATGGGTCTATACCAAGCTGATGAGGGTATGAAATCCAGATGATAGTGAATCCCTCTAGAATTATTGCCATACAGAATCTACGGCTTAAAAAGTCAGGCTACTAGCCAGATATTAAAAGTTACTCGCTATTGTAAGCCTGAAGAGATGGATTTCTACTTTTGAGTGTTGTCGTGAGCCAGTAGACTTAGGAAATAATAAATTGTGTGACAATACTGAAGGTTAATGTATAAAGGGAATTATCTTTTCTAAAACCAGAGTATAACAGTAACAGTCATGTTAAGAGGTCCTGCTTTCTACAATAACTGAACCCTGAATGTGGAAATTGTCAAGAAAACTGAATTTAACATATTCATTGAATTTCAAGAGTCACCTGCACTACAAATGTATTGTTTTTATCTTATCTTACAATAACATAGTAAATCACCGTTCTACTTAGTAGTGGACAATTTGACCAAAACTGAAGTGAGGTTTGTGCTGGATGCTGTACTATGAATTCTAGGATAAAAATTAGGAAAAAGAATGAAAATGCTAGAAGCTTGGAAAAGCAATACTTTTGGGTTTGGGTTAAGAATCAGGACAGGATTATAAGGATACTTTTTTGGGTTGAAAGCATAGCTGACTTTTTCCATGTTTCCATTTTTGGCTATTTTGACCTAAAATTTTAAATTCACTTTGAATTCTCACTTTAGCAAATAATAGCACCCATGAATGAAATGGCTTTTACAGATTAAGTTGTCCATGACACGTTTGGATTTGGCTAACTTGCTCTTAGCTCAATGTTTATGTTAAATACCCATTAGGTGAATCATTAATAATTCTTTAAAAACGTAACATTTCTCAATCCATATAGATGTTCTCACCAGTCATCTCCTGCAGCTAATCCTCACACACAGAAATGGAGATAAATTGCTATTTTTCCATAGATAAATTTAATAACATCCCATTAATATTGTTTAATAAATAAATGTGAGAACATGAAAATCATGATATTGTTTTGCATTTTCATAAAGAAATCAAAGATTCATAATGCCATTTACAATACATAGGAGTCTAATGAATAATTCACTCTGTTTTTTTTAGCCTGCACCTAATGCGCAAATGACAAGCTACACTATCAACCAGAAACCCGTAGTTCACATTGAGGAGTATGGGCAGCACATTGAATCTCTATGTAAAGGACTTCCTGCCTACACCGCCATGGAGATTCCTAGTAAGTAAACTTTGAAAACAGGGAGCATTGCTAATGTAACTTATTTGACTCATACTACTTGCATATTTCTCAATACACTCAGATGTTATTGTTGACTAAAGTGGGTTCCCATTTCTGTACCACAACTTCAAGGACCCATTTTTTACTTCTAGAAAAGTGTGTTATTTTAAAACAACTGTGTTTTAGGGTGATGTTTGTGCATAGAACCCCTAGGTGCATTATTAGTGAACCCCAACAGGTAGCTATGGGACAGTGGAGAAATGGCCTGGTTTTGCCATTGATATTTACTGGAGGGCAGGGAAATATTAGAAAGATGCATTACATAACACAAATTACAGGTGTTAAAAAAACAAAACAAAAAAACAGATCAGCAAGTGATGAAACCAATCACTAAACAAGAAAATGGTATATAGGGGGGTATTCATATCATATACAGCTGCTCAAAACTGCACATTTATATTTGTTGTAAGTCATATTTATATTGGTTGGGATGAACAATTATTAAGTTAAAGAAAGGCATCTTGCAAACGCTATGCTTTCAGTCATGTTTATTAGAATATTAGTGTCGGTTAAGCAAAGGTATACATTTATAAGTTACAATGCATTATGATTTAAATGTACAAATCTCCAAATCTCCAAGGTAATGGTATAAGAAACTAAATCGGTTGGGAATTGTAGAAGTAATGCAGGTTTTCACTCTTTGGACCAAAATTAAAATTTTGATGTCAAATGTCTCTGTAAAACCAGTTCAATAATTTCATCAGAAGTTTTGCATACAGATGTGCTATGCGAATCCACGAGTGCCTAGCCCTTCCTTTGCTGGAATTTGCTGTGGTTTTTCTTTTGTGCTGGGAATTAATCTTCGTAAAAAGGACTATGCTAGTGGCAGAACTACCAGGGTTGATAGCTCTGCCTGTTACCTGCCTCCAGGTTATTATGACACCACTCTGAACGGCCGGCCAGAAAAACATTTGGCAACCTTAAATAACAAGGAATGGCAGCAATTGTGGATATCATGTTGACCTAGCAATATTTGCTGTTTGCAAATATTTTGGTACAATATAAATAATAATAAATCGTGACAAATTTGACAGAAGATATCTCAAGGCACAGTTGTAAACACAGCTATTTTTAGCTTATAACTAGATATTTTCTCCTTATTGAAAGGTAGACCAACACCTAAAAAAAGAAAGTAAAATGAAAACAAAATGTTTATTTATTAATGTCTCCAATCAATTACCTGTAAAACTGTTTAAAATAACCGATATTTTCAATATTATCAGGCTTATTATAAAATGTGTTATGTAAAGTATGTCAATACATAGAAAAATAACTAATTTCTCTAGATTGTATATGATCAAAAAATTTGGAAATACATTCTCAACGCATTCACTGATGGTAGTTTTAGCTTTCCTCTGAACTAACCAGATGTGTGTCACAGAGAAAGTAAGGCTTAAATGTCTCCTTCTACTATAACAAAGCATATCTTTTCAGATGTCGGAGGAGAGTTTTCCTTTTGCAAAAGCAACAGTATCATCACAATTTTGGGAATCAGCTTCTGTTTTTAAGATGTTCATTTGGAGGATTACAGCTCTCTGACATGACGCGTTGAGACGTCTTTTTCCAAATATTCCACCCTATGGAATCTTAATATTCTTTCAATGACATACAATAAAAGATTTCTCCCCAGCTATTGGCTGCTCGTGTCTTTTTAAGTAAAACCAACATGTGGGAAAAATGTTAATTATTTAAATAAATAGAACAGAAAATCACTATTAATGTTTTAACGGTTTTGAAAAATTATAGAGAAAGAAGAAACTCCTAGACAAATAATTTCAACAAATAACATACTAAATTGGAGGCTTGGTGCAATAATATAAATATAGGGCTTTTCATGACCAAAGTCAAGATGGTATATTCAGAAGAAATTACAATGCTAGCTTTGAATAATATGGGTAGTAAATGAAAACCATAACTTTAAAATCTGTGCATAGTCTTTCAAAAGAATAGAATACACACAATAATTCCACAACTACAAACAAACTATCCATGTATATCTCTCATTAACTCTAAATAACATTTTGTGTAATCAACCTACTGTTACAGATTGTCTCATAACATTATGTTTTATGTTTTAATGCAGTGGTCCAAATTATTCTTAAAGGGACACTATAGTCACCAAAACAACTTTAGCTTAATGAAGCAGTTTTGGTGTATAGATCATGTTCCCGCAGTTTTACTGCTCAATTCTCTGCCATTTAGGAGTTAAATCACTTTGTTTATGAACCCTAGTCACACCTCCCTGCATGTGACTTCCTAAACACTTCCTGTAAAGAGCCGTCTAAAGTTTATCCTTCCTTCATTGCAAGTTCTATTTATTTTGGGTTTTTTACCCCCCTGGTATGTTAATAGCTTGCTAGACCCTGCAAGAGCCTCCTGTATGTGATTAATGTTCAATTTACAGCGAAAGATATACAATTGTTTAAGGAAAATTACGTCTGATTGAATGTGAAACCAGTGTTTTTTCATGCAGGCTGTGTTGATCAGAGTCATGGGGGGTGTGACAAGGCTTGCATTAACAGAAACAAAGTGATTTAACTCATAAATGACAGTAAATTGAGCAGTGAAATTGCAGGAGAATGATCTATACACTAAAACTGCTTCGTTAAGCTAAAGTTGTTTAGGTGAATATAGTGTTCCTTTAAAATCTGTAAGATCAATGGCTTGTTTCCTCGATAACCTATTTTTTTTTTTTTTATAATGTTTGTTAAATAGTTTGCTAAGGGATATTATTTAGACTCAATATAAACAAGTTAAATTGTGTGCGGCCATAATGTCAAGTGTGTCTATATTTTTTTGAGCTGCCTTGACTGTCGTTGCGAATGTTACTCTTGTATCCAAATGCTTTTTGTCCTTCAAATCTATTTAGATATGACCTACATAAATATAATTAAATCAGAGAACTGTAATATATCGTTCTTTAAATATCTTTTTTTTATTCTAACAAACCTGCCTTTTCAGGTATTGGAGGAGAATTTGTAAGCTGCTGCAGTTCCAGTATCATCACGATTTTGGGCATCAGCCTGTGTTTTTAAGCCCTCTGGCAAGATTCCTGCTGATGCACACCCTCAAACTATTGTTATGGATTATGTTGAACTCTCATCCTGTAATAAAAACATTTATTTGGGGTTAATAGCCGCATGTCTTTTTTAATGTAAACCTCTCAGAAGAAAAATGATTCATAAATAAATGCTATATCTCAAGATTACTGAGAAGAAATGTCTGAGTGTCCAAAACCCACTCTCAGATTGTTTAAACAATTTTATATATTTCCCCTTTATGTTACTGCTCCTCTTTTGACTGTATATATTTGGATAGAGATGTGAGCGGAAGGCAAAGCTTAAGTTTGATGGTCAAAAGGGCTCCGTTAGTAAGAAGTCAACCATGTAGGTGAATTGAAATTAGGATTAATGTATTACTTGTTTTCAACATTCAGTCTACAAAAACTAAGGGTACTTGAGGGTATTAAATTGCCATAGAACATGTTTCAAGAACCTAGGTAATGACCTCAAGAGTGTGGGGACAATATCATTACAAAAACTCAATAAGGTTCAAAAGTAAGAGGCATAACACAAAGATATTTGGCCAGGTCAACTAGAACAGTGTTTCCCAACCCAGTCCTCAAGGCACACCTACCAGTCCAGGATTTAGGGATTACCCAGTTGTGTCTAAGGTGTTTTTACAAAGAAGAAAAAAAAACACCTTAGACACACCCTGTAATCCCTAAATCCTGGACTGGTAGGTGTGCCTTGAGGACTGGGTTGGGAAACACTGAACTAGAAGACAAATAAACTGAATATCCAGTAACGTTGCCTGCATCCATTAGGAAATATTTAAATGGTTTATCCAAACACTATAACCACATCAGTAATTTGAAGTGGTCATGGTGCTTGGAGTCTGTATATGCAGTTTTTCAGCTTTAAACGTTGCACATATAGAGTTTAACATATTTGCATATTTCTACCTCCATCATTATGGCATCATAAGCTTTCCCGGAAAAAGAGTCAATGTTAATTCTGTGCATAGTTGGCATCTGTCATAAGCATGCACAGAATGGCGGCGAGGGGCAGGATATGGAGATTTACGCTGAAGAAATTATTACTGTATGTTGTCCATCGCAACCCAGCCATCCTCTAAAACAACATTCTTCATTTATTCACTAATATTTCTGGCACCTGGACTATTTATCCATCAGCAATGACCAAGAGCTGTGATATCACAACATATTTTATTTCTAAAAAATATTTGGACATACTACTTCTTGGACTGTGGAAAAATAAACAGATTTGACCCTTAAACACTACTGAATTATACAAATAGTTTCTACCTTTCTGTCTGCACACACAATTTACTCCATGGCAACAACCACATCAGCCTGAAACATTAATTGAGAACAGTTTAATTTTGTCAACAGTCAGAGACCCCAAAAGCATGTATGCTAAAGACTTTAATGCATACAGGCTTTTAGGGTCTTTGGCTTCACACTGTCGTGCACACATTTTTGGCTAGTAAATTATGCTAGCTTTTCACATGAGACACAGTATTTAGCATTTAGCGTTCAACAACTCACTGCAACATACCTGGGAATTATCAATGGAAAAATAAAACAAGTCCATATTAGACAGTGCTTGAAGAAATGTTAACATCCCAGCTGTAGCTTGAATGAAGATGAAAGTTGCATTATTTTTTTTGACAATGTGCTTAACCAAATCAGTTAGTAGGAGACAGTCAGAATTTTAGCTGTACAACATATTCATAGAGGAAATTAAAAAGTATTTAAAAAACAATTAAAAGTTACAAAGTGCTGATGTTTTATATTTTTATTTGTGAAGTAGTAGAATGCAATAAGCCTGTATTATTTCTTGATTCATAAGTGTGCTGAGATGAAAGACAAAGTTTACAAACCAAATTGATTTAATGTATATATTTTGATTCTAAATACTGGACCCTTTTCTAGAATTTACAAAGAACACAATATGTAAGCAGTTAGTAGAGAGAACAATAAACATTTAAATCTGGAAAATATGCTGCGGGTATTAGGATTGACTAGGAAAAGGATCAAGTACATATCCAGGCAATGGGTATTAGGGAATAAAAAAGAAGTAACTTGTAAAAACTGATTGAAATCAAGAGAACATTAATGATCAAAATAAAAATGTATGAAGAGATATATTTTTAGGAATTTGTCAAAACTGAGAAAGGGGAGGGGGGGGGCATGGCTGACCGAGCCGAAAAATAGACACATCTCCTTTGAGGTCCGTACCAGAAACGGACAAAATATACTTTATATGCTTTTGGAGCTCTGGGAAGACAAATACCCGACAACCCCTCACCAGATAACAATATGGGGCGCAATAATCGAAAGTTTCTGAGGCTTGAAAGGCCAAAGAATGCCAAATATGAGGCTCTAATTCGAGCGGCCTACCCCGCCGTCACCTCCTAAAATGGCGCCGGAAGCTCAAGAGGAGGAAGAAGCCTCAGAATAGTTGTATTAAGAGAAGGAAATACTCACCTCCCCGGGACCGGGAGAAGGCTCCCAAGTGGCAGAATTGGATGAGGACTCCTATTAAGAGGTTTCTGACAGACCTGCGTAGGGTGTGGAAGGCCGACCTGAAAGAGACACAGGAGGAGATGGGCATCCTCCGCCAGAAGGTACAAGCGGTGAAGTCCAGGGAGAGCACCCGGGATACCATGATGCAAGCCACAAAAAAAACAGGTAGAGGGCCTAACCCAGCAGATGCAGAGGCTTAACCGGACAATCTCCAGGATGGAATCCTGCCACAGACGTCGGAATATCCCATAGCTGGCCACCTACGGGGGCATTCTGTGAAATACAAGGGCAGCAAAGCAAGTTAAAGGAACTGTAACCTGAATGATCCAGTGACATATGTCTAGAACCAAGACACCAGGTCCTGTTGAACACCTAAGATCTTAGGCTGCACCTGTTCTGCTTTATTTGATCAAGTGTATTGACTTGGTTGTATAGTTACGATATAAACGAATACCACTCTAGTCACCACTCACTAATTTGTCACAATAGTCTACCTAATAGCGCCTGTCGCACCATTCCATTGTCAATGTTTATCTTTGTCTTATTTTCTTTTACCTTTATTTACATATATTGAATAAGATGTGTACCAGTGTACAAATTCAAATAAAACTAATTTTAAAAAAAATTAAGAAAGGGGTTGCCAATTAAATGTTGAGAATGGACTTGGTCAAGAAGTATTGGCAAAGGCTAAGGGTTATGGAGTCAGAAGAAAAAAATCTGAAGAAGGAGGAAAAGGTGGTATAGGTTGGTGGTAGTGAGGGACAGGGTGTACATATTGAGGTAAGAGTTTTGGTGATAATGGCAGCAGACTGCATAGTTAGAAGTTGCAACTTTGTAGAGAATTTTGTATACAAATGCTAGGAACGGAAAAAGGGAATTATTGTAGATATGAACCTGAGGCATTTGCAGGTTGAAACGAGCAGCAGCATTCTGAGTTTAAAGAATAGGTTACTTAAATGATTGCACCAAAATTTGCAATTATTTAAAATATGTATTAATCAATTAAATAATGCTCTAGTGAAGTGTTACTTCATCAATGTCCTTAACCGCCCTCCACCTTAGACATTTTTTAATGGGCCCTGCCACAGTTTATAAGCAACGGGACAGTTTATTGGAGAAATAGGAAGTAGTTCTATCATTTCACTCAGCTGACTGTGCATTAAAGGGACACTATAGTCACCAGAACAATTACAGCTTATTGCAATTGTTCTGGTGAGTAGAATCATCACCTTCAGGCTATTTGCTGTAAACACTGTTTATTTCAGAGAAAATACAGTGTTTACATTACAGCCTAGTGATAACTTCACTGGCCACTCCTTAGATGGCTGTTAGAGATCCTTCCTGGGTCATGGCTGCCTCAAATGCATCCAAACATTCAGTATCTCCTCCCTCTGCATGCAGACATCGAACTTTCCTCATAGATCCATCTCTATGAGGAGATGCTGATTGGCCAGGGCTGTGTCTGAATCATGCTGGCTCTGCCCCTGATCTGCCTCCTTGACAGTCTCAGCCAATCCTGTGGGGAAGCATTGTGATTGGATCAGGCTACCACTTCTGATGATGTCAGCAGACAGCTTGTTTTTCTGAGAACTTCAGGCTTGAATGCAGTAATATTTTATTTATGGAGGCATGAGGGGCCCAAGGGTGCTAGATGGTTGTGTTAACACTATAGGGTCAGGAATACATGTTTGTGTTCCTGACCCTATAGCGATCCTTTAATGTCTCAAATTTTCCACCCCCCTTTTTTTATGCTTTAATTTTGTAGTGCATGAATCATGAATGTGCAATAAAATGCTGAGAACAAATAGTAACAATTCAAGAAAGACAGATTTTCTGCAAACATTTTTTTGCATTTATCCAAGATAACACCTCTATTAAGTAGCCCTGAGGAGAAAATGAGAGGAAGATAATTTGTATTGCAGTATTTGCATGAAGGGACCCACCCCTTTTAACGGTGTCCCAGGCTATGAGGCGGAAACAACCTTTTTGCCAACGCCTTACTGCCATATGAAATTAGATTAATGAGAATTAGTGATGTCGCGAACCCGAAATTTTCGGTTCGCGAACGGCGACCGCGAACTTCCGCAAATGTTTGCGAACCGGCGAACCGGGCGAACCGCCATAGACTTCAATGGGCAGGCGAATTTTAAAACACACAGGGACTCTTTCTGTCCACAATAGGGATGGAAAAGTTGTTTCAAGGGGACTAACACCTGGACTGTGGCATGCCGGAGGGGGATCCATGGCAAAACTCCCATGGAAAATTACACAGTTGATGCAGAGTCTGGTTTTAATCCATAAAGGGCAGAAATCACCTAACATTCCTAAATCACAATGAATATGGATTGACACCTGACATATGACATATTGACACCTTGACATATGGATTGACACCTGTCCTCAGAGCCCCTGATGCACACGGACACAGAGCAGAATAGAGACTGGTCCCCCTACATAGGGTCACTTGGCAGATATGGATTGACACCTGTCCTAAGGATCCCTGATACACACTGACACAGAGCAGAATAGGGACTGTTCCTCCTACATAGGGTCACTTGGCAGATATGGATTGACACCTGTCCTAGGGATCCCTGATACACACTGACACAGAGCAGAATAGTGACTGTTCCTCCTACATAGGG